GCATTATGTATCTGCTCTCGGGGGAGCAGTGACCTGTCAAAGGCCATGTGATGTAAGTGTGCTGCCAGCAACAAAACACTGGTGAGCCCCCGTTTTTCCTAAGTGATGGGGCCACGGCTGATGGGTCTGCTCCTATATGCAATTCATCAGCACCTAGAGGAGCATCCCCCACAGCAGGCTATCTCCCTGCCATGTGCTTTCATATGTCTATGCACATGTAGCTGAGAAAGGAAGGGCAAGAAGGCAGTCTTGCTTGAGATGACTGTAAGGACATTTGGACCGTGTCCATACACAGTCAGATGTGAAATGTGGTTTTCCAATCCCTGCAACTGTTCCTGCACGTAAGCCTATGTACATGCACACATTGCTAATTCTGTGCTTAAGGACTATATACCTCTGTCTGGGTATACCCCTGGGTTTTCACATCTGCCCCTGTGTGTGACTGACTGCATATAAAGCATATCCATACACTAACAGCCACCATCAGCTTGCACACAGAGAGAAATGCATGCTAATACTCCTCTCTCTGGGACCAAGGTAAAAAGCAATGGATCTAATATGATACAAATCAGAAGAAACACATCAGCTTCAGATGGGTCATGCTGAATTATCCCAGCAGAGAACCTGACTGAGCAGGCCTGATGTACCAACATCTAGCAGGCATTCAGATGCCAGGCTGATGGACATTATTGGGAAAGGAGTAGAGGAGTGCAATACAAAGAGCAGAACAAAGCTAAACAGGCACCTTTTCTTTGACAGTACGACAGTTGTATTTTTCTTGGTGAGAAAGAACAGTGTGCTGTGACATTTTACAAGAAAGCATGCCTCAATGGGCTGAACAAATAAAGAATTTGCACAATGAATTGCAGGCAGTAATTAATTTTCACAGTGCAAAGCAGTTCTCTAGGAAAGATTTGCAGAGCTAGTGATGGGCAGTTCTATGAACTGAGATTTATCACAGTGGTTTGTTGCAAACGGAATCAGATTAAGACAGATGAGTTATCAACACAGCACAAGAGTAATCTTGCACCCATGGTATTTGCTGTTACTCGACCTTCACCTTCTTTTCTTTTCCCATGGCAAACAGCAGAATCTAGTATGTTTCTGCCCTAGCATTAGCACAATTTAGCACCATTTTCATGGCGCATACTGAAAACTTTGAAGAAAAAGGTTTGTTCTATTAAAACAGCTGTGAATTTAATAGTAAATGCTGTACTTCTTTTCCCCCTGCTTTAAAGAACTTTGTCACTTTAAGGGAATACTCAGCACGAATAGCCAGCACTTGATCAGAAAGCTGGATCCTCAAAATAGTGCAAGTTCAGTACCACTAGTAGCAGCCAGATTCTGAAGAGCTCAACAGCATGTATGGTTTAATAATCCCTGCCCCTCCTTTTTATTTGTAATCTAACCCTTTTCCATATCTCTGCTGCACTGACAAATATGGAGTGGGTGGAGGGCAAGTAAAATGATCCGTGTGATTTATTCTTCCTCCTGGATCAGCTAAGCCCTACCTGCCATTCAGCTAAGCTGTGTTACTAGACATGCTCCTTGCTGCCTGCAAGAAGCCCTGCCCAACCCTTCAGCATTGCCATATCATTTCTTTTGATATGTGTAATCATCTGTTTCCTTCCTTCCTTCCTTCCCTAAAAATCACCTAACACTCCACTCTTGCACATCAGAGTACGGAATAACAAGTCCAGCCGTCAGGCCTCAGCGTCAGATAGGAGCAGGGGGAGGAGCGGGATGGGGTTTTCCTGAGTCTCTTCTCTGCCCAGCCGCTTTCTGCTCCCGCCTCATACACCTTATCAGGCAACAGCAGCTGCATCAGGAGCAGCCACTGACCTTGGGCAGCTACAAAGGCCGGGTCCATATGTGCCGACGTCTTCTTGTCTTGCCCAGCTGTTCTGTGCTCTCCCCAGGAAGAGATGAGTGCAAGCTGTCTGTGGTTCACATATTCTTCTCAGCTGCTTGATTTATTTCAGCATTAGCATTCATATCTGCCCAGTTTCAGAGCAGTTCCCCTTTACCAGAGGACAGACAAGGTGACATCTCAAGCTCCTTTTCAGTTCCATGGCAACCAGCTGTGTCATTTTGCGCACAGAGATCGCTGCCATTTTCAAAGGCCTTCCCTTATGCATGTGATTGTTCATTCCTGTATTTTCAGTCTCCCACAGCTCAGGTTCCCCTGCCAGATACTGCACAGCAGGACAGCAGGTACCCTCATCGTGGTGCACCTTCACTGGCTCAGGTGGGACCTTCTCCAGGGTACATTCCCCTTGGTGCCTTTGTTTTAGAAAAAGCATCTTCCCCTTCCTCTCCAGACACTGCTGACGCAGCAATAGGGAAAAGCAGTTCTTAAGATGGGGAAATTAGGGGTTTGAGGTGTTTTGGGCAGAGCTGTATCTCAGTTAGGCACAGGGAAGGCTGAGGAGTCAGGAGCCAGGCTGTGAGCAGAGTAATGGCATCATCTAGTGGTCACACAGGTCCCTTGCACAGTGCATTGCAGGGAGCTGGGACATGTTTTCTCACGCATTAATTGGAATTGCCAAGTGAGATGGGAATGCTTTTAAGGTGGGACTGGAGGAGAGTGAAAACCTGCGCAGGAACTTGCTGGATGGCCCCCAGGAGCCCCTGGCTAGTGAGACACAGATGCGAACTGGCCATTCCCTGCCATCGTGACTAATGCCAATGCCACTAGGAAACATCTCCTTTCCCCACCTCCTTTTTTAACAGAGAACCAGCAAACTGGACAGTGGAATGAAAAGCCACTTTGTGTATTCAGCTGAGCACCGACATCTAATTTTTCAGTCTCCTCCTTTTGCCTCCTAGGTCAGGTAGACCATGGATATAAACACCAACTCACTCCTCATGCGAACCCCAGCTAAAACTTCCTACGCAGCTTCCCTAGTGTTCGTATGAGACACCTGTAGAAATGAATCTAACTTAAAAGTTATTCTACAAGAAAAGACTAGAATACAAACTCAGTGAACTCACCTCACTGATTTTCCCTACTTTAAAAAATAAAATAAAATTTTAAAAAGTGTGCAAAACTTTCCATTTCAGTCCAATAGTGGACTCTTGCAGACTTGCCAGGGTGGAGTGAACTTCCAATTGTTATCTGAGGGTGAGTCAGTGCCTTTCTTGAGCAATGCAACCTTTAACGCTGCATTTCCACCGTTTTTAATGTTTGGTTTAAAAATAAAAACAAAATAAACTCTTCCAACCCTAATAGTTTGGTACAATTATATTTACTCCAGCTGAGTCTTAACTTCATCATAGTGCAGTTCTTCCTGTGGGATTTAGCTAATGTTTGCAAAGCACTTGATTTATGATGAACTGTTGAAAATTATGTTTAGGGCTGCTGTACAGCTGAGGGTCTGCTGTGCTTTCATTATTATTGTTGTTGCCAGACCATTTGTTACCTCAAAGACCCTTTGACAGTTCTCCTTCTCCCATCCCCACAATCTTGCTTCCCAGCCTTCCCCAGGACAGTTGTAGTACTTGCTTGGGATGCAGTCACATCACAACAATATCAAGAAGACAAGCAGAGAAAAAGTTTATTTTCCTGCACTGGGTGCTGTTGCTTTGGTGACATCCTATTCATCACACATCTGTGGTGTTTATTTCTCCTCTCAGGGTGCAATGCTTTGTGTTGATTAATCCCAAATGTTTCCTGGTTCCCTCCAGTCGCTGTTGCTCTCATCTCCTCAGGCTTCAGAACATGTTGTTTCCCTTCTCCTGCGTCCCTTTCTGCTACAATGTCACCCCCAAATACTATGGGACAATGCCAGAGAGACCTCATCAATCAGAGGCATCTTCCTCAGGACATGTGAAGAAGCAAGCTTGTGTTTAGTTGATTTAAAAAGCCTCCAGCCACCAGAAGGCTTGGCTTGGCTTCCAAGTTGTGAAGGGAAGGAAGATGGCAAGTGGGGGACAGTACATGCCATTTCAAAAAAAAAAACTAAGCAAAAATCCCACACCTAGGGAAGTCAAGCATGTTTCAGCATGGAGGGAAGTGATGACTAGAAGTGTTGGCAAGGATGTGGAGACACAAAGCAGGTTAGTGTGAGAGGTGAGCTGAAACAGGCATCTGCCACCAGGAAACCTCCTCACTAACTGTTGTTTTTCCCTCCTGTGGCAGGTGATGGACAGCTCGATGCCACTGATTGGGGAGCATGTGGAAGAAGACAGACAGCTTATAGCTGATTTGGTTGTTTCCAAAATGACTCATCTTGTCAACACTGCTGGATCTACACCATCACCGCTGAGGCCTTGGGTATGAAAGAATAGAGACCTTATGGCCAAGTTGTTTTCCTGAACTTCTTTTCTCTCTTTCCTCCCTGTGGGTGTCAGGCTGTTGGACATCTCAGAGAGCTGAACAGTCCCATATGGAAGTGTACTGGATAGACTGACTCCTGCTCTTACAAGGAAGTCCTTCATAGACTCTTTGCAGTGGATGCCCATAAGAAACACCTCTCTCTCCCTTCCTTTCCTTCCATTTAGTTGTGGCAGCATGCTGGTAGTGTGGGCCATGCATCTAGACATTCTGGCTTTCTAAATTCACAGATTCATATTGAAGAGGCATTTTTAGAGGTGCTTGTAATGCCCAACTTCCTCTCCATCTAACACCATCCCTTGGGATAGGTTTCATTCCAGTTTTTGCATCCCTAATGAAAATCTGTGCTTCCCAGAAAAGAAAGTGGGAATCTCCACCAAGAGTTGTTCCATTCCTTACTGCAGCCTTTCTTCTTTGGAGATGCCCTTCACCCCCTTCATCAGGAGGAGGTTTGACTAGTGCTGAATTCATACAAGAATCTGTCATTTCTGCATTTAAACTGACGCCTTAGTGCTTCTCGTGTACATTCATTTTGAGTATCAAATGCTTCTAATCTTAGTGCCACATTTCCCAGTGGAATTTCTGTACAATGAAACACACGAGAACATAATCTGTGTCTCCAGGTTTATGTGCTACACCTCTTTCAGTATCTAGCAGGGAGCCAAGCACAAAGGTTTGAGGACAACAAATTTGTACAAAAGAAAGGACAGGAGAGTAAACAGGCTGAGGGATAATGCTGACTGCAATGCACTGGAACAGTTTCCATTTCCACTTGAGAAAAAAATTGGGAGAAAGCACTTCATGTCTCTCTGCCTTTCTCATACCACAGCCCACTCCTGCTAAACCAGGTCCCCAGCACGAAGGGTATTCAGGGTAACTCAAAATCAAGTTTTAGCTAGAGTGAGAGGGTAAACATTTAATAGACACTAAAAATGCTCTGGGGCAAGGAAAGCGATACAGAAGGGATAGAACTTACTCTGGCCAAAGTGGAATCAACAACTGCCATCTGAAATAACTGAGATATAGAGTGTATAAACTAAGAGCAAAGGGGAAGCCAAGAGAAACTGAGAACATGGACAGATGCATCTGTTTTCTCTGTGTGTAACATACTGGTACAGGATTTGATTGGATTACAACAGACCTAAAATAGGGCCAAAATAAGAACAAATCAAATGGTTTTGGAGGGGTAGGATGTCAAACAGAAGAGTTAAATAAGAAAAGGGTCTTCATCAAGAATACAACCTACAAATATCTGTATACAAAATCAAGAAAATTAAAACCACAAATACATTAACTAGAGTGTTTTGCTATAACGACAGACCTTGGTACGGTGAACATTGCAGAAACTGCACAAGCTACAATTACATACATAAAGCTACAATTACATACATAATGCTATAACACAGTTAAATGTGCAGACAGGAGTAATTACCTGTGAGGCTGGTGAGATGTAGAACTAAAGCTACAGGTGAAGACTTCCACAGAACAAAGAAAAACAACAATTCTGAATACAAGAACAGCAGTACAGAACATAGAAATATGAACCCTTGGATATCCTATGGGTATGCACAGAATATCTATACATATTACGGGAGCTATCTATACTAGTCTCTGGATCAATAAAAACTGAGAAATTATGAAACTGAGTGCACAGAATGGACAGAGATGGAAGAAGCAACAAGTCATAATAATGTGAGACTGCAGCTATTAAGAAGCAAGTCAAATAGCACAGTGGGACAGCAATTCAGAGAGAGTTCCTCACCTCTGTAGCTGTCTGCTTCCCAAACTGCAAAATCCAAGTGCAATAGGAAAAAACAGCCAGGTACAAACTCAGGAAGTTCATATGTACTATTAGGTTTGATGTCCAAGGGACAGATGGGATATCAAAAAGTAATGGTATGACATAAACAGTTAGAAAAGATTATTTTAATAAGATGAGAAAATTAATCAAATCCCTAGCATTAAAAGTAAAACTGTATGGACATTATTTGAGAGCATGCATATATACATTTCTGATTTGCTCCTGAACCAGGAATGCAAGAAATAAACTTCTAGAGTTACATCACAAAGTGATAGAGGACATTCAAGACAAACAGATAAAAAAATCTTCCACATTTGGAAATCTGACATTTAAGAAGATGATGCACCATCATTCAAGTAATAAAAGGAAACATAAACAGGATAGAAATTTACTTTGAAGAGCAGATAGAAGGAAGAATGAAACAAATTCTTTGAGTTCATGAGAAGATGGAACCCTACCAAACAATTGGTGGGCTCCATGAATCATTCAAAGTTAAGGGAGAAAAGAAAGACAACAGGGACAGTGTTGCAACTATAGAAAATTTTATTGCTGAAAGTGGGGAACTTGTTAAACTAGTTATAGTTTTTACTAATCAAAAAGAGAGGGGAGAGAAGAAAAACCATTATTAAATCAGTGATGACTGATATTTTTAAAAAGTATTAAGCCCCCTGACCCAGATGGCTACATCCAGGGACCTGAATTTAGTAAGCAACTAAGCTGCCAAGAAAATATGTGCAATTTCACTAGAAACAGTCATTGCTCCAGAGGATTGCTGTACAACAAATACAAGGTATGTGTTTAAAAAAGTTGTAAGAGTAATGTAGAAAAACGTAGTCAAGTAAGTCATGGACCTTACGAAATACATCAGACAATAATTTAAATAATAATACAGAAGACTAATAAACCAACAGAACCATAGCTTAAGAGCATCTACCTTTTTTGTGTGTGTGTGTGAAGAAAAATGTCCCATTAATTTCCTTTTGATTTGTTTCCCCTCCTTTCTTTGAGAATTCTTCCATAAAGTGGTAGGTAACAGGCAATCAGTCAAAATAATGTAGCTAAACTGTCAAAAAGCCTTAGGGAAGGTAACAAACAAGAGCTGTCCCCGTAGGGAACGGATAAAATGCCAAGTTTCATTGTGGAGCAGAACCTGGCCTCAGATAAAGACATAGATGTGAGATGTTATTTCTCGCAAAGTTAGCACAGGGGTTACTTAAAGGATGCTAAGCCTGGTCATGTTGATAATTGGGTCTGTTGAGCCCGGGACAGGATAAGATGTTAAATGACAACCCGGTTTCAGGGTTACAGCTGCCGTTCCTTCCTCACCTCTCTGCCCCACCTCCATCCTTTCCCTTCACTGCTTCCCTTCCAAAGGCAGAAGACCTTGGGCTGGCCCTCACCCCTTCATCTCTAAACCTCAAAATCCTGTTTTGCCTTTGTGTCTGAGAAGCCCAGGGTTGGCTGTAGGCAAAGGCCATAGCAGTGAATATGAGATCTGGTTCCTTTTCTCTGTCTCGTCTAATCAGGATGTCTCACAGCATTAGAGGCATCCACCAATACCAAGGCAAGGTTTGGTGTCCCAGGCTATGTAGGACTAGAAGCCATGAATAGAAAATTCCCAGATTTTCCTCCCTGTCCGTTTGCAAGTCCTAGATAAATAGTGTAAAATACAGGCTGGCAACCTCATTGCATTTATGTTAGTGAGTTGAAACTCATTTCAGTGCTTCCAACTATAAAACATTTCTTCCCATTTCCAGAATCACTTAGCTCATTCTCCTGACCTTCCAGGAGCCTTGAAAACCCTTTTATCATTGTGTTCTGCATGTAAATAATCAGGCACGTACCAGCCTATCTGTCTCCAGCTTCCCCTGCTTTCATAAACAATTTTGTGCAATAGGCTTACTCAGACTTCTGTTAACTTTGGACCGGCCCTTTGTGCAACAGTTCTGTGTTGCTTAATCTGTTTATTAAAATATCTGTCAAAAAGAGTAAACAGAGAGAGACAAGAAAGTGCAGGTGGCACCAACTTATTTGCATTAGTCAGGACCAGCGATGGCAGTGAAGAACATCTGACAGAGCTATGCATGTTAAGCCACCACAAAGAGTAAATGAAACTCTGTATGGAAGACTGAAAGGTAAGCTATGATGGGAGGTAGAGAGAGGGAGAACATAAACAATCTGCAGACCTTACAAGTGGCACTAGCCATTCCCCTTGAGAAAGACTTTGTCGCATACCGGCTAATGAAAACCATTGTTCAGTGTATGGTTGCATTGACAAGGAAGAAGCAGGAAATTAGGATGCAGGAGAAATGAGCTAGTGATGCATACAGGGAACCCAGATACTGCTTCATCTGGAATAATGTAAGCAGACCTGCCTCTGGCATCTGCAGAAGGAATCACAAAGCTGGGAAAGAGAAGTGGGTGATGAAAACAATTAGGGGCCTGGAAACATTCCCATGGAGGGACCTCAGGGATTCAGTCTCTTGGCTTTAGAGAGGAGGTGAATGAGAGAGGAGAGTAAAGGTTTGCAAAATAATGAATGACCTATCAAGGGCCAGTTGTGAGAACTATTCTGAAAATTCAGCACAAAGCAATGGAGTTAAGGAATGGGAAAGGCAGTGAGGCCGAGAGCTGAGCAAGACTCAGAAGGTCTGGGTGTAAATATCAAAACAAAATACCTGGAGCTGTTGCAAAGATTTTGTGGAGCAGATAATAAGCTTCATGTTTCAGGGTTGAAGCTGGCCCTTGCTTATTAGCAATCAAGAGGAGACCCCTTAGGGTAAAGAGATGATGACTCCATAGATGTTTCCATGGTTCGTCTCTCCTTCCTTTGGAACATCTGGTGTTGGCAACTATCCAAAATGGGAGATGGGACTAAGAGACCCCCTCAGGCCTGATACATTTGGTAATTCCTGATTGCCTAAAAACATTCTAAACTGTAACTTCATTGTTATTCCGTGTGAGCAAACAACTTCTGTACTCTTTATTACTCAGCTCTCCATTTTAGTCCCATGATAGTTTACCAGCCAGATGCTGCATGCGTGTGTGCACGCGCGCGTGCGTGTGTGTGTGCGCGCACATATTTGAGGAACACTTCATGACTCCGCAGTTCCTGTGTTAGCTCAGGGCTTCTCACTGGGGACTCTCCATTAACTGGAATGGCTTTTTTTCCTCTAGCCTCCACATGTTCAGCCTGCATCAATGAAATCTCAGACTGGACCTCAGCTTGGACAACTGTCCCAACCACGGCCTCCTCCCCAAGGTACAGTTCTTTGGGTCCCAGGACAGTGTGGACTGTGAGACCTATCAATTTGCCTTCTAAATAAAAGCTATCAGGATAGAAGTTTCATTCATTTTTCCAGTTCACTGGCAGCAAATTCAGTGTGCTGTTAAAGCAGCTGCTGTCATAGTCTACAGCAGCTCAGAAAGTGGTATGAAAATTTAATACAGATCCAGTTGATACTGCTGGGAGGACGTGGCTCAGCAAAACAAGGCCACTTGAACTGGCACTGGAATGGAATTCTGGGCACAGAGTGTATTTGTGTTTGCACAAGTGTTAAGAAGTGATGGGAAGATGCTAGTGCTGTCAGGCCTGGCACAGACACCAACGTGGTGATGCCAGGATCTTTGATCCATCTGTCCAGGTGTTCCCCTGTCAGCAAGAGCACACCCCCAGCTCCTCCTGACAGCAGAAGCAGGTTTGACTCATGTGGCTTGGTCAGAACAACAGGTTTCGTTTATTGTCCTGATTGACACTGAGGTGATGAAGCACAGGGCTGTCCCATGGGTACCCAGACCACACCAACCACTCAACTCACATAACCAATTAGACCCTCCTTTTTGCCACCTTTGTCCCCTCCTTTCTCCACTCTAACCTCCTACCAAATTAACACCCACCTCTAATTATCTTTTCCTCATCGGTCACAGTTTTGCTGTATCCAAAATTTAGTATTTCTGACCCTGAATGCACCTACATAATCTTGGCGTTACATGCTCTTACTGATAGTAATTGCTGGCCTTACAGGATACTACTCCCCAGCTGTCTCCAGTACTCCCCTTCAATGCTCTGTGAAAGTTTTTTCTCACATAACTCCCCCTTGACCACCTGTGAAATCCAGCCAGCCCTCACAGCACTATCTGTAACTTTTGCCAACTTTTCACACTGTTATCTGACATGTTCAGCAGTTTCTCATGTCACATCCACTTGTTTTCCTCAACCTCTTCAGTTTTGAGAGTCTGCTACCAATATGGCTGAAGCCACCCACTGATAATGCTGGAACAGATGATAGGGTAGTGATAGGGTGCACAGTCTCACATCAAACTGCTGGGCCCGTGAAGGGACTGCTGACCCAAACCAGCAGACTGAGCTTTCATTTCCTGCAGAGTTGGTTCTCCAGTGGCTATTCCTTTCCCTGTGGGGAGAGTGGCAAAGCTGCTTTAGTATTCTGTACCTCCTGCTG